AATTTGTAAATGAATGAGTGTAAGTTGTGTTCCAATAAAACTTTATTTACAAAAATACAAGGTGACTCCTGGTTTAGGAGAACTGGGCTGTTGACTCTGTGATAGATACTGTAGTGGGTAATAGCTACTCTGTTTCAGAGTGAAGGGCAAGTCATTAATTCTAGGACTTGGCTAGTCCCTTTATATAGAGTTTGACGGTTGCTGTATTTAGGATGATATGGTAGGCAAGGAGATGTCTGCCTTTTCAGGCTGTATTTCTAAGACTGTAAAATAAAACAGAATGCTAATATGGACATTAAAACAAAAACAAACAAACACAAAGCCCTCTTGCCTCCTCCCACATAAATACACCCAGAACTGACTCCATAATTTGCAGGCCCAGTGCAAAATGAAAAATCAGACACCCTTGTTCAAAAATTAAGAATTTCAAGATGGTAGTGGTAGAGCACTAAATCAAACACAGGGCCCTCGAGACTGCACAGGGCATCCTGAACACACATCATCATGGCCTCCACCAGCACCTCTGCCACGTACATATCTACATGTTTTTCAAGTCAGAAATGCTGTTTATGTGAGGACATTAACAGTATAGATATCCACTTTGTACAACAGTTCGAGTTTCTCTGAGATAAGTGTGTGGTATGCGACCAAATTGTCCAGTGTTCAAAGATACCTTACACACTGCAGATAGAGGTAACTTCTAGACTGACATAAAAGGTACAGTGGGGTGTAATCCATTTACAGATGGTTGCAGATCCACCGCACATACAATTTTAGCCCCGTGGGTAACTGGTCAGCCAAGCTAGAGTAAACGATGTACCCAGCTGTATCATTTCCTATAAACTTTTCCTATGTTGATTCCACAAGCTTCTACTCACATTGGCCAGCAGAGTCCATAAGAGCTTTATCTGTGCACGTGGGACAACGGTGACCAATATGACTTCTGTAGGAGCCAGAGTTTCTATTAGCCACAAGTAAAACCATCTGCCGAAAACATAAGTGCACTGGCATCTGCTGAGAGACTATGATTCATTGAAGTGATCCCCAAAATTCTTCAGTCCCTGGTTTTCCCTGCTGTTATAAAACCAGACTCACAGCATGGGACATAGAGTCCTTGAGAAAGATAAATTGGAGGGAAACTTTAGCCTTGATCTAGTGGTGAATTTGGGACTGAAAAGCAGTGTTCTAACCCACTTGTCTTTTTGCGTCGGAGCGGCTGTGCTATTTCCTTTGAAAGAAGCAGAATGCTACAACCCTTTGGATGAAAGATTGTTTTGAAGCGGCAACTGTGGATGAGTTATATTGTTAAAGGACAAGTGTGCTGTGCTGTGACACCAAACCTAACTCCAAATGATGAGAAAGGATGTGGGTTACAGAAATATTCAGAAATAAATGAGCGTTTTATCAGATGATATGTCAGTGTCACCACGTCAGTTGCTTATGTATTCTGCATCCGAAGTCTGTCTACAGAAAGCCTTTCCTAAGCCCTCTCCCATAGGAATTATATTCCCTCCCGTTCTCTTTCTCCTTCCTTGCCCACCATCCACTGGCTCTCCAGCAGTATCTTGGCCCTCATCGTGCTGTACCATAATAATTACGTTATGTGTCTGTCTGCAGCATCACACTGATCTCCTTGAAGGCAAAGAAGAAGTCTGATTTCCTAGTTGTATCGCTGGTGCCAAGCACAGTGCTTAGCACCCAGTAGATCTTCAGAAAATACTGAATTAACTTAATGAAACCCAAAGTAAAACTCAGAACCCAGTTCATGTCACAGAAAGTCAAATAAGTGGCAGGTCGAACTGTGTCTTCCAAAGCAATGTTCTATGATGATAGAATGTTTTATATCTGCTCTGTCCCATATGGTGGCCACCAGCACATGGCTGTTGAGCATGTGAAATATGGCTAGTCCGACTGAGGAACTGAATTTTTATTTTATTTTATTTTATTTTAATTTAAGTAGCCACATGAGCTAGTGGCTACCATATTAAACAGCATCGTCTCAAGGCCACACATCTCTACCCAATAAGGCCCAGCTATAACTGCCAGGGAAACAGCCACTCATCTTGTTCCTTACATCATCATAGAGACTGAGGATGAGGGATGAGGGAGGTCGTAAATGATATAACACACACAGGTCTATTTTGTTTTTATGTAATAGGACACATCCGGGCTGGGGATTTAAGTTTCTCTTAGTTTGAGAGCCTGGAAAGAACTTGAACTTTTAGTTACATCCCTCTCACTTCCGCCCCCAGAAAGTCATATGACAAAATCAGATTGAACTCCATCATTCTTGTTCACAAATCTCAGGTGCCTGAAGCTTTGGAAGATACTGACTTGCTGTGAACTTGAACTGTATTGTGTACTGGGTCTTTATGTAGTTTTATAAATCCACTTCAGAGAGGTTGGTCTTAATGAACACAGCTTGTCACCTTCTGAGATTAAAGGAAGCATGCTGTCTTATGAAATCCTAACATTTTTTATTTTCCAAGGAATTAAAGAGAAATCCGATAATGAGAGTTCACAGTCAACTCTTGCGTTAGGTTGAAGCAAAAGCTAGTTTAGAATGGGATGCTCATCAAAACGGAAAAGCCCGCCTCCGGTGTTTTACACTGGGTAGTCATTCCCTGTCTACTGTAAAGACCGCTTGGGGAAAAGAAATGTAGCTTAATGTGCTTGCCTTGAAGTAATGAACTGCCCGTGATTGCTATGAGACCTCATAATGCAGGCAGAGTTTGATTTCCCTGACAAGCTATTTACTTAAGGGTCTGGATAACAGAACCAGAGATGGGAGGTCGGGAGGTAGTGACATTATCCTGAGGCCAGCACTGCTCTACTGAAACTAAATGTCTCTGAATGGAAAATGGTACCCGCCTCTGCCCGTGGATGTCTTAAGTAAAAGGTTATTTTAAAAAATGGATAAAAGTCTTATCCTTCTCAAGGTGAAGAGTGAATTGTGGCCCTCTCTCCTTCATTTCACTTCATGGATGCTCATTTTGTCTTTTTTTTTTTTTTCCTTCTGTTCCTTTTCCTTCTTCAAGTACTTAAATGTCACCCACCAGTTCTGGGTTCTTACTCTGAAGGTGTGTGTCGGGGGAGGGGGGCAGATGGAAGCCGGGGAGGAGGAGGACGGTGAATAAACTGTTTGCGCTGCCTGGCTGGGGGACATTTTTATCACAAAGTTGAGGTAATTTCTGATACTGACATGAATGAAACTTGAGTGGACCCACTTGAGTGGCTCTTGGTGACTTTGTACGTCTAGGGACCAAAATACCCATCACCTTACCAAATTATCACGTTGATATTTTTCTGAACGCAGCAACAGTATAATTACTGTGTTTGATTCTTCTGGTTGCCCAAGAGGTAAAGGCTCGGGCAAAGCCAATGGCTGCTACAGAGTCACTTAAAACCCCCGAAGGTTGAGGTCGGGGCGAACTTGCTGGCCGCTTTTCATAGAACTGTGGCTTCACTGCTTGCTGTCCCCTCTTTTGAGTGTTAGTGGAACGATTGCTCCTCATCGTCACTTGAGCGGGTCCCCCCACCAGCCCCGGGTCAGTTGGGAAGCTGCAGAATTGTGACTTACTCCATAACTATTTGTCAGTGGGCTTCTCTGCTACTCAGCCCGAGCAAATTAAGCTACATTCCCTCTCGGAGCCCCAGGGCCCTCACCCACAGAATGGGAGATGATGACAGCAACCCCAGTGTTCGTGCTGTTGAGCGAGTAAGCATAGAGCATGAGAGGGGAGGTGGAGACGGACGGCCTACTCTGCTCATGTGTGGTGCTCATGAAGGCCAGAGACATCTTGGCCATAACAGCTGCATTTTCTCTCCTTTGGGTCCAGGCTGCTTCGAATGCTGCATCAAGTGTCTGGGAGGAGTCCCCTATGCCTCTCTGGTGGCCACCATCCTCTGCTTCTCTGGCGTCGCCTTGTTCTGTGGCTGCGGACATGTGGCTCTCGCGGGCACCGTGGCGATTCTTGAACAACACTTCTCCACCAACACTAGTGACCACGCCTTGCTGAGTGAGGTGTAAGTAGCTACTTCCCTTTAAAAATGGATTTAAAATGCAACCATCCCGTGATGTTTTCAAAAGGTATACAGCTGATGCTTTTCATTAAAGCTTGCTATATACAGAAAGAAAAAGGTCCAGGAGAGAGGGAAATAGACAGAGCCAAGAATGCAGTGGGCGTTTGCCCCGCCCCCCCCCCCGGGGTGTTTGGGACCTCAGGTAGCATCTCACCTAGGAATGGCAAGATGCACACCGAGGACACTCTGCACACTGTAGCCGTAGGAATGCATGGCGTTTGCCCCGCCCCCCCCCCCGGGGTGTTTGGGACCTCAGGTAGCATCTCACCTAGGAATGGCAAGATGCACACCGAGGACACTCTGCACACTGTAGCCGTAGACATGGGGGACCAAGGCAAGGCGATATAGGTTGATGCTGCCAATTATCACACCAGAGAGTTTTCATGGTTCCCGAGTAACAGGCGCCCTCCAGTGTTCTCACAGGAAATGACCTGTGGTTCCTCCTCCCTGGAATGATAGGAACCCTGGTGAGGACTTAGCCTAACTTGAAGTCTCTAGGAGCAGGCCCTTGGCATTTAGTGATCAGGCAGAAGAACAAGTCCCAGAGTGTCTTCCAATATAGAAAAGGGGAAGTTTAAGGGTGGAGCCCGAAATCTCTGTCTTAGCATTCTGGAATCATTCTCATTGGAATCTGAACAACTCATGCTCGGATTCTCATAACTGTGCAAACTCAGCAACAGTGTATTTATTTCTTTCATGTCTTTTCCCCTTTCTCCATCGCCTTCAGTGTTTTTTCCTTGAGTCCCAAAGTCTCACGGTGTTGAGGTTTCTTGTGAGTATAAGAAACTTCTCCACCAGACCGAGAAAGGCGTGAATTTTTATGGAATAATAGAATCATGTTGGAAGAATCTTGAGGGAATTTTAGTCTTTACCTTTTCATCAATGACATTCAAAGAAATGAGCAGGGCAGGGGGTGCTTTAAGGACAATCAAGCAGGACAAGGGACTCATCGAGCACAAGTACATGCAAAGAAGACCAAGAAATATTTACCACGACTGAGCCTGGGAAAGGTGTGTTGATTTAATCAGCTAGTGAGCTCGGTAAGTGGCTCTCAAACTTCCAGGAATCTTGAAAAATTCCCCACGCTCACGCTTCACCCAGACCAATTAAGTCTGGGGATAGCAGCCAGGTACTGGTATTTTTTAAAGCTCCGCAGGTGGTTCCAATGGGCAGCTGAAGGTTGAAGAACAGTCACAGGGGTTCCCGTGAGCCTTCATACGATAAAATCAGTTGTGAATTAACATTTCGTATCAAACCTACTTGACATATTATCACTTGTGTAGTGAGGCTCTCAATGCACACACCATCTGCCCAAGTTACTCCTTAAAAAAGCACTGAGTGCTAACTTAGGGGTTTTAGCAGAATAACATGAACCACTGATTAGTGGTTGGGAGACATTCGATATGGCAGAAGGAGCATGTTGTCCATTGGACCAGTTTACATGCTGGCTGTGCCACTAACTCTGTATCCTCAATGCCTGTGTTTACTTATGTGCAGCATGAGGATTCGAACCCTCACGGCACAGGACTTGGCTAAGTATTAAAAGGTTACGACTGGGCCCCCCAGCCCCGAAAGGAAACCCCTCCCTCGTCTGGGAAGGCTGTCCACCTCAACAGTGGGCTCGCCTTGGAAGAAAGGCCAGAATTGCGGGGCGGTGGCCAGGGGCGCCTGTCGGAATGCCCCGTGAGCTCACGGAAGCCATTGCCCTGTGTCCTCCCCGCAGAGGCTGAAAACATGTTTACCACCCGCCGTGGATTTAACTTTTCAGGCTGTCTTCTTCCTTTCCATAGGATCCAACTGATGCAGTATGTCATCTATGGAATTGCATCCTTTTTCTTCTTATATGGGATCATTCTGTTGGCAGAAGGCTTTTACACCACGAGCGCAGTGAAAGAACTGCATGGAGAGTTTAAAACCACCGCCTGTGGCCGATGCATCAGTGGAATGGTGAGTGCGAATCTCGGCTTGTCCGATACACAACCAGAGCCACACCTCTATGTATTGGTTTGTATGTATTGCTCTGTAAAAGCTACGAGCTAATTGGGAGTGGATGGAGAGTCCACACCACAGATACAGGCAGATCTTACGGAGATCGCGGGTTCGGCTCCAGATCACCGCAGTCAAGCGAGAATAGTAGTAAAGCGAATTGGAATCTTTATGGTGGGGAAGCTCTTGCCTTCGATTTGTAAAAAAGACATCTGTGATGCACTGTAAAGCCGAGGCATGCCTGTAGTGTTCTTACTAACATAGAGTTAAGAATGTGAAAATACCTTCAATACATTAGCGATAATAACTGAAATGGAACATTTCCCTTATCAACATATAGGTATTAAGGGTATTGAAGACTTTTCAAATACAAAGTTCCCACTATGAAAGAAGATAACTTTCATACTGTCTCAGTGTTCCCTTCATTTGTCTTTGAATATGGATCCTGGCCATAAAGACTTACATGTATCATGACAAACTGGCATAATCCTTCTGGAAGTAATTCCAAAGCACTTCTAGTAAGCACCTACTTGAGGACTTTGGTAGTCATTGAGGATGCAAAGATTAAAACACAGGCTCATGGCTTCAGGAAGCTTATAGTCTAAAGAGAGGCGTTAGCACACTCCGGCCCTTGGGCCAAATCCGGCCCGCTATTTTTGTACAGCCCATGAGCTAAAAATTGCTGTATATCTTTAAATTGTGGGGAGGATAAACAAATGAATAACATGACTTGTGAAAATCATACGAAATTCAAGTTTCGATGACCATAAATAGTTTTATTGGCACCTAGCCACATCCGAGCGTTGACATATTGTCCATGTCCATGCTGGAACAACACAGCCGAGTGGTCGCGACAGAGACCGTAAGTGGCCTGCAGAGCCTAAACTGATCCCCATCTGGCCCTTTGCAGACAAGGCTTGCTGACCTCTGGTCTAAAGAGCTCATTAAAAGGTAGGGTTATAAAGTGCTGTATCACAGAGGGAAACTCAGAGCGGGGTTGAGAGGCTAGGAGGGAAGGGGCCTTTATAGAGTTTGATTTGGGGCACGTTGGATTTGTTCACGCCGAAACACCTCCCAAGCATCTCTGTCAGTTTGGCCTTAGAAGGAGTCGTCAGGTGTCAAGAAAACAGTTTGGAAGTAGACAGAGAAACGCTACCGCTGGGGAAGGAAGGCTAGGCTGGCAGGTGAAGGCGCTGGCCCTCCGTGGAGGGACACAGTGGCCCTGGACGTAAGGCTGCGGGCTCCCTGCTGCGTGGGCCACACCCTGCGCTTTCTACCCCCTCCCCCCGTGAAGAAGGGATAGACACTGGCTTAAAACAGATGGAGAGCCTAGTGTTCATAAAAATCCTCTTAAAGGAGGCGCGTGCATTGTTGCGTACTTCTTTGTGACTAGGTGGGAGCCTGGACACGAAGGGTCTGTGATACAGTGTATATCAAGTTTCTTAAGGTTGGCGCGATCCTTCCCTGGGTGTATGTGTCACTGACAGCTGCACCTCCCAGGAGGGGACCTCGGGTCCTAGAGAAACTGTGCTGAGATACGCTGGCCCTGCTGCTTCTCTGTCTGGCCCTTAGTTCCTGCTAAGTTTCTGAGTCCTTAGCTAACAGCCTGGGAACTACAACAGAGATGTGTGCAAATGGCGGTAGGGCACAGGGACAGTGGTGCTGGCGCTGCGCGCAGACCTGGGGAGGGCGTCGTGGCAGGCGGGGTGCAGGAAATTGCTCCACAGAAGATCCGAGAAGGGGAACCAACATGAGCAGGGGAGAGGCCCAGAAAAGAGGGGTTGCTCCAGGGAGCCAATGGTGCACCCCGGATGGAAGGGTGGAGCAAAGGAGGATGGAAGCGACACTGCTTGGGAGCGGGGACAGGAAAGGCCTTGCGTGCCAGGCCAGGAATAGACTTGGAAGACAAAGACGAGCAGAGACAGATACGATCATGCACATCGGAGCGAGACCTCCAAGTGACATGCAGGGAGGGTGGAGGGAGGGAGGACAGGTCAGCAAGAGGTGACGGCAAGGCTCATGCTAGGCAAAAGCAGAAGGCTGAACTAGGCCCCAGTCGTGGACTGGAGGACGAGGGACAGATTCAAGGACTGTGGGCCAGACTTGGCATATGGAAGTGAGCACAGAGGAGGAAATGAGTGCCCAGCCTCTGGCTCGCCACTTGATGAGGCTGCCCAACAGGAGCGTGGGGAGTGGGGGGGGGACAGGATGGAGACCTGCTTTCTGTGTCGTGTGTCAGGCTTGATGTGCCTGTGGCCGGTACCCAGCTGGAGTTATCTAGGGTGTCACAGAGACTTGGGCTGGGGTTTCTGGGAGCACTTGGCTTGAGATGGCAGAGCTGTCTGTGTGATAGCAGGCATGAACAAGCTCACCCCAAGGCTTCTGGCCCAGGCCCTGTTGCTGGGGCACCCCTCAACACTTTCTGCCCCACTCAAATGGATGTACTCCCAAATACACTTTCAAACTTCTTGAAAAAAACTTCAGTGCCTCAGTTTACCTTGGAGCAGGTGTTAACATCCGGGGAGTGGTATAGAATATGGGGAGCTGGTGCAGGAGGCAGGGGGCGCTTCACCCAGAGCCGGTGGGAGGCTGCTGTGGGCTGCGGTGTGGGTGTGTGTGGGGGCCCCTGTGCCACCGTGCTGAGCTGGAAGACCCCTCCCCCCACACACATGTCTCTGACCTGTTATATAAGTTAGATTTCATCTGAGAAAAAAATCTGTTCTAAAAAGTTGAAAAGCCAGTTGTGCAGCGAGACCTGGGCCGTCTTCATCCATGTCCTCACTGAGCACCTGTTCCCTGCTCGCTGTGGTTCTGATACGTTCAAGAGGAACCACTGAACAGACCTGCCTTTGAGCGCGCGAGGTGATGGGAAAGGTTATCTGAGGTGAGGATAAATGAGCACTGCCCACCACCAGGCCTTGCTCCGGCTGGTCCGTTATGGGCAGCCTCTGCCCGGACACTCACTACGGACGCAACTCTGAATGCTGGAGGCTGCCATGATGGGATGCCCCCACGGGCTCTCCCAACGGGACACTGGCTGCCCTCGTGGGCCCTGACCGCTGTGGGGAGGGAAGGCTCACCGAGCAAAGAAACAGCAGGCCTTTTTCCAGTCTTTGTGGTGTTATCAGAAAGTTTTCTTCTGACGGGCAAGAAAAAGAAACCCTAGTCTGGAGTAGCCCATCCATAAGCATTGGGGAGGAAGGGGCTGTGAAACTGTTGAAATTTGCTTCTTTGAATATCTTTAGAAATGCAGATGCTTCCAAAAGTATAACTGGCCTTGAGATAAACCAAAGTGACTTGTTTCCGCAGTTTCCTGTGGTGACCAACAGGAGGTAGCCTGTCTGAGCCTGAGCCCCAGGCCAACCTGGCACAATCCAGGTATTTCCTGCGGTATGGAAAGTCAGATGGAACCTTCAGGTCCTCAGCATCAGCTTGAGAAAATAAAAGCCAAACTAGAATTCCAAAGCTTCACCCACATACTGTGTGGGTGCACATTCTGAAAATATAAATACCACAATGTTTTTGAAACAGCCTTTTAACGTTCTCTGAAAATTGGTAGTCAGGGCAGGTTAGGAAGAAACTGAAGCAATATGATTATATTCTTCCTGAAATCACCCATGGCAACGTGTGGGTGAACACGATGAAGATTTTTCCCTAAGCCAGGGCTTTGCTTGCAGGGCTGCTGTGAATCTTAAAGATGAAAAAACCTGGAGGGAAATAAGAATTTTATCAGATTTACTGCACATTAAGCCTGTGTTTAAGGCTATTTTAAACTCTTAATAAAGGTTCAAGCATCTAACACTTCATAATTTCACAGGATCATGAAACTAGGGAAATGTCTTTTGAGAAAGGGCTTCCTGTAGCAATTGCTATTATACCACCCATTTATTATGTAAAATAATGGAAATCTGGGAATATGAAGTTATAATTCATGTGACCTGTGAAACCATCCAGACACCAGCCCACGGTAAGTACAGAACTGATGTTTAGAAAGAATGCCACGTGGGAGGCCCTATCACTAATTAGCTCTGTGACTTTGGACCAGAGAGATCACCTCCTGGGGTCTCAGGTCCCTGTTAAAAGAGGGACCTAAAAAGTCCCTGAAGTGGCTTCCAGTAGTAAGTCTCGATTCTACAGCTCTAGAGAGTGTGACTATGCTGCCCCGGCCGCCAGCCCTCGATTTCCCTCTCCCTTGTCACTTTGCCTTGTCGCTATTGAGTCCATGCAGTGCTCTAATTTGAATGTATCCCACAGTTCAGTATCAGGTCAGAAATCGAGAATCATTCCTCCCAGGGGATGCGCCTTAATGGGTTCAATGACAATTTTCTCTTTCTCATTTTTGGCTTAGTTCGTCTTCCTCACCTACGTGCTGGGCGTGGCCTGGCTGGGCGTGTTTGGTTTCTCTGCGGTGCCCGTGTTTATGTACTACAACATATGGTCAACCTGTGAAGTCATCAAGTCACCCCAGGCCAACGGGACAGCTGGTGTGGAGCAGATCTGCGTGGATATACGGCAATACGGTATTTCCTTTTAATCCCCCGGATTAATTTTTACTCTCTTGTGCGTACATCTTAGTTTTGCACACTTAGATTTTAGTTGTTACATGGCCATCTGTTTCATACATTCTTCTGTTGAAATACTGTATACGTTTTGCCTGAATACACTCTGTTTTCTGAACAGAAAGATCATTTAGGCTCTTAGTTGCTAAAAGGTGCCATTCAAAATTTTGTTATATTTTCAAGTTAGAAATGTAGTAAAAGAAACTTTATAATGCAGTTCAGTCAGAAAAAAAAAGTCTAGATGTCATCTATAAAAAGATGATATAGTTTTTCTTCAATTTCTTTTCCGTTTTGTATCATCCAACTTTCCATCCAAGATATGCACTATATAACTCAATTAATTTGTATGTCTGTTCGACTCTTGAAAGCAGGTCTTTTTGAAAAGACCAATTGTTGAAAGTTCATCTATACTGAAAAACACAATATAAGATCCAGATGTATTTTTAAAGTCATCACAATGGGCTCTATAAAATGGCTGTTGGAAACGCGTTCACACATATTTTCAAATGAACAAGATCCTCAATAGGCAGCTCAGGTTGGTTCATTCTGACAAGCCACAGATGGGGCCGTTGCTCCTCCTTCCTGTTCATTAATT